GAGCCATCAAAGCTTGACAGAATTTCATCGAAATCCACCCAAATAAGGCAGCGATCCACCACTCACTCAAATGAGCAAAATGACAATGAATTTCATCTGAATCCAGCCAGATAAGGCAGCGCTCCAGCCAAAACATGGAAAGATTGTCTACTGTGTATGTGGTTGTGATTGGCGGAGCGAGACCCATATACTTGGAAAAGTTGGGGGGGGGGGTTTTTTTTTTTTTTTTTTTTTTGGTGAAAGTACACCATTGCAGAGATATAATTCGTTGAGAAACAAACCTCGTAAAAGGACAGCACCTTCCCAACGTCGATCTATCCGACACCACAAAAACACAACCCCAATTTCCTCCTCTTTGCTTCCCGATTCCCCATCCCTTTCCTGCCCCCCGTGGAAATCTATTTCCCTGTATCACCTCGCCTCATCACTCCCCTGTATCACCTCGCCTCATCACTCCATCCGCATAACCCTAATTAAAGGATTCTTCAACCGACCCACAGCTCGGGCCGAGTTCATCACCCAATCAGCACATCCTTCACAACCCCTCATGAGGGCTGTTTAGCTTGCCATTACATTATCCCTCATAATACCATGATGCGAGAACTGCAAAGGATTATCATACCGCAGAATGCGCACCAAAAAAAACGATGAATCTGTCACAAGATCGTGGGATAGTTCACACAACACCCCCCACGAGAAACGGAGAAGACCACTACCACCAGGATTTTCGAAAAGAACTATCCATCGATCTGCTGTCTCAGGCGCCGCATGCTACTCCCTACTGTCACCCCACTAGCAGTGTTAAAGAGTATATATACCCTCCTCCGCCTGCGCTGACCTGTCTGCAATCTGACCCGATTTCCAGCAGCTGATGCTCCCCCCACACACACACAATAGATGGAGCAGTTCAAAAAAAAAAAAAAAAAAAAAAAAAAAAAAAAAAAAAAAAAAACTTTCCCAAACTGGCGCCATAGCTCGTTCCATACTTGCCCACCATGCCATGCCGGCCTTCTTTGTGCGCTCCGTCCAGAGTAGTGACACGTCACTCTTCTGAGGTTGATGAGGTTTCCAACCATGGTGGGGTGTAACTGTTCTGAGGTTGATGAGGGTTGGGAGCGCCTTACTAGAGGAGAGCGCGATGCACAATTCTGAGACCCGCCCCTATCCATCGCTCACCGTTCGGATGTTTTTGTTTTTTTGTTTTTTTGAGGGGGCGGAAGGGGGGGAGGGGACCGGGGGGCGATATATTATTTTCTATTTTCGACTAGAGAGCAAAAAACATCTTCATCATGTCCATCATCACCCATGCGTGCATCTCACCTGTTCCATCATTACATACTCTTCGAGATCTGACACGATCATCGGATTATACGAGTTGGTTGCAACCAACTCCTCGATGGTACGCGGGCGTCCCTCTACACCTGGCATCTTGTCAGCTCCTCTCTCTCTCTCTCTCTCTCTCTCTCTCTCTCTCTCTCTCTCTCTCTCTCTGTGTCTCTCCACCTGTGTATTGATTGGAGAACGAAGGACCAATCAATCAACAAACACAGTCGACAGACGAGGAGCCGTTGCCACCCTCGGTTCACGGTTTGCCAGCCAAAATTCCACACTTCGCGAATACCCTTACTTTGGGAGGGAGAACAGAGGCGAGGCGATGGGACCCTGCCGCCGTTCGATGACTTGATTAATTAATTAATCAACCACCAACGGGGAGCCCAGCGAAGTCCCAACACACCGCTGCAAAAGATAGGCTAGGGTGCACACACCCCTACTAATTTGTATAAACAGCAATACCAATGGGCATCCACCACTGACCCGTCGCGGCCCACCACCCGCCGGTCCCCCTCGTCACGTCGCCTTGCCCAAGGGCAACGAGATTCCGACCCGAATGGAAAGGGAGACAATGGAGGAGCAGAGCGGGGTAAGAACGGACAGAGGACACAGAGAGAGAGAGAGAGACAGAGAGAGACAGAGAGAGAGAGAGAGAATCTCACGGCGAAGCGGCGGGGCGATTGACTGCAGCCTTCTCTAGGCCTCGAGGGCCTCTTGTCGGCGGACCTGATCACACCGATAGCTAAATCCAATAGCCAAAGAGTGACCTTCTTTCTTTTTTTTGAGATATCTTCATTGAGCTGCTGACCGGCCACTGGCAATTCCAACATATCCGGTCTAATCCAGCGGCCTAGCTAAGTTGGTAAGGCACGCAAGTGGCATTCAGGAGGTCTTGGGTTCAATCCCCGTTGGCCTCATGTACTTTTGTGGGAAGCTTGGCATCCGACACCTAGAGATATGCCTTTGGTGCACCCGAGTGGCATTGAGCAGAGACTGCTGATGCTTATAGGGGGAGGGGATGGGAGGGGAGGCATAGTGACTGGCCCATCGAAGAAGCTTGGTCCTGATGCTACCGGCTGACCCCTGGCCGGTATCACCCACCTGCTGGTGGGTGCAGCTCCCGCATGTTCCCTCGTTGGAGGCTTGAGCACGGATGTGGCTGCTACAGGGTTCCACGTAATACTATAATGACCATAAAAAAGGCCTGAAAGGCCGTCCTGTCCAGATTCGACAGGTAATTGAATCGGTTGGGCGTACTTGGCCCAGCTATTGAAGTCGAGCCTGAATATGCCCTGCGCGCCGATTTTTGCCGAGCCTGCAAGGGGCGGGAACCAACACGGGACATTTGACGCTTGGCACAGGTACCGCCCTTATTCTGGACCTGCTGTTAACAGCTGGAATGTAAAGAGGCGATAGTTTTTTTGTTTCCACTCGTGTACATGAAAATGGTCTGGGCAGAAGTGCAGCCCGATCCGTCTGGAAAGATCTCGTTGAATGCTCCCCGCCTCTTGCGAGGAGCAGAAGCACAAACAGTCGAGGGTCTTCAAAAGGAAAAAAAAAAAAAAAAGGAAAAAAGGTACCAAGCTCTGAATGTGATTGCCCTCATATACATCCACTGCTGCAGTGATGTGCAGCCAAAAACATTATGGAAAGTCAAAAGGAAAAAAACAAAAACAAAGAAAAACAAAGGGAAAAGAGGTACCAAGCTCGAAACGTGATTGCCCTCAAATACATCCACTGCTGCAGCAAAGTGCAACCAGATACATTATGGAAAGTGCTATGTCACGTTATAGCCCTGGAATTGAACGTTGGCACACATTGAAGGCTCTCCGTCTCTCACAGGGAGCATAAGCACAAACAGCCGAGATACTGTTTCCCAACAAAAAAAAAAAAAGGAAAAAAAATACCAAGAGTTGAACGTGATTGTCCTCATATACATCCTTTGTTACACCAAAGTGCAGCCAGATACATTTTGGAAAGTGCTACATCACAGTGTGAAGCCCTAAAACTGGAACGGCAGACAAGCATTGAATGCTCTCCGTCTCTCACGGGGAGCAAAAGCACAAACAGTCGAGATACTGCTTTAAAAAAAAAAAAAAAAAAAAAAAGGAAAAGAGATACCAAGCTATGAATGTGATAACCCTCAGATTCATCCACTGTGCCCACAAGTGCAGCCAAATATATTTTAAAAAGTTGTAATGGGACAGGGAAACCCTGATATCCCAAGGGCTCGTGAAAACGAGTTTTCTTCAAAAAAAAAAAAAAAAAAAAAAAAAAAAAAAAA